TGGGCTGTAGTCCACGAAAGCTTGTGCTCTAATAAATTTGTTAGTCTCTAAGGTGCCACAAGTACTCCTGTTCTTCTTTTTGCAGAACCCAAACTCTGTCCCAGAGCCTGCACCCTCACCCCTTTTTGCACACCCACCCCCTGCACTAGCCTGGAGCCTGCACCCAGCACCCAAACTCCATCCCAGAGCCTGCATCCTAGACCCCCTCCCCCACCCTAACTCCCTTCCAAAGCCCAACCTGTCTCCTGTCCTGCACTCCAATCCCCTGCCCAAGCCCAGGACCTCCTCCCCCCACCCAAACTCCCTCCCAGAGCCATTGGCAGGTGGGGGGGTGGAGTTTGGGGGGACAGAGTTGGAGGGGCAGGTTCTGAGCACCACCAAAATGTCTACAAACCTGCCACACCTGACCCCCTGGTCCTAGAAGTGCCGGGCCATAAGGGGGAGGATTAGAGTCCTTGCTCCTATCCGTCTGTCAGGGGAAAATTGCATAGGTGAATATACCCTCAGTCATAGAAGGATAGAGCCCAAAGGGTAGGGGGCTTAGCGTTTCCCCATCCTGCTCTGTCAGGCAGAGTTCTTTTTAGTGGGTAGAGACTTTTCTGTTTTATAAGTCCCAGCATGAGCATGGGCATAGAGAAGTTATAAAGGTAAAATAAATTCATAAAAATATATGTTCAGGCAGTATTTTCTATGTGAGACTCAACTCTGCAAGATATAGGAGGGTGGACAAATAGTGGTAGCACCTATGTAAGAAATGTTTAAAAGGAAGCAATCCAAAGATGATACTTTGTTCAAGAGATTACTCCTGTTAAACAGATCATGCTCTGTGCAGTGGGGCAGCTGCCCCACTCCATGAGAGAAAGGGCTGGAACAGCCAGAGACTCTGCGCAGACCAGCAGCCAATCAGCAAAGGCCTGTGGAGAGCCAATCAGGGCCAAGGAAGAGGTAGCCAATAAGGGCCAGGCTGGGCCCTATATAAAGACTGCCTAATGAAGGAGAAGGGAGTCTCTCCCTGACTAGCAAGGGAGGAGGACTGGCTCCTGAGGTAGGGAGGTAAGCACCTGGGACAGAGCAAGGGCTTGGAGGAGCAGATGAGAGCTCTGGCCCTTTACCTGCCAGGCTGTGGTACCTGACTAGAAGGGCCGAGAAGGTGCAAGGGGGAAATGGCCCAGGGAAAACAGTTGGAGAAGGAGGGCAGAGAAGCTGCTACTAGAGGGTCCCCTGGGTTGGGACCCAGAGTAGCGGGTGGGCCTGGGTCCCCCTTTCCCCCCCTTGTACTGCACCTGGCTGCAGAGATGCGTGGCAGAGACAGACTGCAACATGCCCGAGGGGAGGGGCTAGACTTTGGGGTTGTGGTTGGTCACTGAGGCAGGTGCAAGCCAAAGGAGTGTTGTTACCCTCCCTGGAAGGGGGTGAGAATGGAGTAGTGGGCACTGCCGGAGGGCAGTGTCTTGAAGCGGATGCTGCTGAGCAGGGAGCAACACAGGTCCAAAACCAGCAGAGCAGACAAAGGGCGAGACACCACGCACAGAGGGCACTCCATGGCTGGCAAGAGCTAATTCCCAGACTGACCAGCAGGAGGCATCGCGGTGGTGAGTTTCGACGCTGCTACACTCTGTTAAACTAAACTCTGAAGGATATAGG